CTTTTGGGGTTTCCCCGTTCAGCAAACACCCCCTCTCTGCTAACAAAGCAAAATAAGACATCAAAACAACTTCCTAGAGTTAAAAACTTTCAGCGGAGAAAGAGAAAGAAGTTTTTAACACAAACAAAAGTGAAAGGGGCCCCAAAAAGTTGCAACTGCTCTTACCGACTCGGGATTGGTGTGCGTCCTACCCTCTCTTCTTCCACGCAACGTCCAACCCGTCCTTTAACAAAGATTCACGGGTCAGACATGCACACAACTCCCCCACAAGGAAGGGAAGTAACAAAAGTCCACAAAATTCCAAGGTGTACACCGATTGCCATTTTCTTACCTTCAATGCGGGGTTTGGCTGATGTCCCTGAACTCTTTGCACTTTTTCCTGGCAGGCTGCGGTCCAAAATTCATCTGGGAACCCAAACAGCCTAACCCGACCTGTTAACATCAAAGGGGGAGAGCAAAAAAGTGTGCTAAGACAAAAGAGTAAAATGAAGAAATTTCCACAGGTGCGGGGGTGCACAAAGTATCTTACCCCCTTGGGTTTTGGCAGCTCCTCTTAAAAGGGGCGGGGAATGGAGGGCTCCCTAAACCCCGCATACCTAAAGTAGAAAGAAAAGGGCATTCAAGAGGGGTTACAGTCTTCATCAAGTAGATGAGGAAAAAAAAACCAAACATTAAATTCGGGTTTGGACATGAATCTTACCCTCTCTTCTTGTGCGGTCGCAGTCGATCCTTGCTCCCAGAATGCTGCTGTACGTCTCGCTGGGATCAACGCTCCTGAAAACACAGAAAAAAAGGAGGTCAAAAAAAACCTAGCTGCCCTATCAAGTTATAATGCAAAAGGGATCCGGGAAGAGCTACAAAAGCACCCCGTTACTCACCGCTTGGCCAAGGGGGGGCCCTCTGACAAAACTGGGCAATGGGCTCCTTCCTCTTCATCTTGGGCTGGCTGGCTGGTTGGTTGGCGGCTGACTGGGTGCTCCTGCGTTGTACCACGTCCGAGTGCCTGAAAATAAAACTGAGAGAGATTAGTAAAAATTCAAAACAATGAAACAAAGCCAGAAATTAATGAAATTCAAGAAAAAATTTTAAAGGGGTAGGGGATGGTTAGTTTTGTTAGATTAGGAAAGTGCTAAGAAGATAGAGAAGAGACAGAAGGAAAGAAAGAAATTCAAAATGCTTCTCTGTTAGGCTTCCTGGTGCGAATTGGGTCCACTTGGGTTGGGGCTGGGCTTTTGGTTGGGGTGGGCTCGGGGTGGGTTTTCTCTTTGCCTCCTGTCTTGAAATCAAAGAGGTCAAATCTGAAGGGCAATTTTGGGGCAAGGAAAAGATCAAAAAGCTAATTTCCGGGGAAATTTTTTTTCCCTCCTTGTGCTGTAATTCCGTGCTTTTTTCCTCTGTAAAAAGCAAAATCAGCTAAAAACAACTTTAAGTTAAAAAAACAGCGGTTTTAAGGAAAAGGAAATTTTAAACCCAGAAAAGTGGCAATAAATGTCTCACTTTGAACTCAGGGTTGGTGTGGTCCTGTTTTTTAGAAAGCTGCCGAGATTTTCAAAGAGTCCGGGGTAACCAAGAAAACCCCCCCCAAAAAAAGGGGGGGTAAAAAATCCACAATCCGTGACACCGATTGGGATCCTTCCTTCAAGCGGGTTTGGCGCGTAGTCCCTAATCTTCCTTTCTCTGGCGGGCTGCGTCCACAATTCATTGGAATCCACAACAGCCTAACCCTGACCTGTTGACACCAAATGTGGAGAAGTCAAAAAAGTGTGCCAAGACTAAAGAGTCAAAATGAAGAAAGTTCACAGAGGCGACGTGTGCACAAAGTATCTTACCGTCCCTGGGTTGGCAGACTCCTCTTCAAAGGACTGTGAACAGAGGGATGCATTACACTGCATATCTACAGTAGAAAGACAAGACATCAAAAGATCACAGTCTTCATCAAGTGAGATGAGGAAAAGATAAATCAACACAGTAAATTCAGGTTGGACACCAATCTTACCCTCTCTTCAATGTGCGGTCGCAGTCGATCCTTGCTTCCCAGAATGCTGCTCAACGTCTCAGTGGGATCGACGCTCCTGAAAACACAGAGACTCAGGAGGTCAAAAGAAGAACAATAGTTGCTTTGATCAAGGTATAATTACAAAACATGGAAACAGAAGTTCTACAAAAACAGCCCTTTACTCACCGCCTTGGCAAATGTAAGCCGCTAGACAAAGCTGGGCAATGGGCTCCTTCCTCTTCATCTGTGGCTGGCTGGGTGGAGGCTGGCTGGGTGCTCCTGCGTTGTACCACGTCCGAGTGCCTGAAAATATACAACTGAGACGAGATTAGTAAACATTCAAAACAATGAAACAAAGCACACAAATTCAAGGAAATTACAACAAAATCAATGTTAAGGGGTAGGGGATGGTTAGTACTGTTAGATTAGGAAAGTGCTCAGAAGACAGAGGAGAGACAGAAGGAAAGAAATAAATTCAAAATGCTTCTCTGTTAGGCTGCCTGGTTGCGGCATTGGATCCTCTGGTGGGCTGGGCTGGCTGGGTTGGGCTGCACTGGATCATCTGCTGGGCTGGGCTGCGAAGGGCTGGGCTGGGCTCTGCTGCTTCCTGCGCGTCCTGTCAATTGGAAGTCAAGAGGTCAAATACTGATACGGTCAACAACATTTGGCAAGGTCAAGATCACAAAAGGCTACAAGATGTACAGTGTGAATCTTACCTCATCTTCTCTACTTGACTGCTGTTGGGATCCTCCCGGGTCAGCATACACCTCCTCTCCTGCTAACAAAGCAAAATCAAGACATCAAAACAACTTCCTACAGTTAACAAAATTTCAGCAAGTGCAAAGAGCAAAGTTATGATACCTTTTAACACAAACACAGAGTAATGAAAGTGGATACACTGCAACATGTGCTGCGCCTTACCTGCACGTCAGGGATTGACCGCAGTGCATCACACAACTGCTGCCTACTGGTGACGGTCTGCTCTTCTTCAATGCAACCAGGCCAGTCCAACCCCATACCTGTTAATAAAGATGTCCATAGGTCAAACCCCAAGAAACACTCCCACAACAAAGAAGGAGTAACAAAAGTCCACAGAATAAACTGGTACACTTATTGCGCATCCGCTTACCTTCAACGCCGGAGTTGGCCGCAGTACGTCCCTGAACTCTGCGCACTTCTTCTGGCAGGCTGCAGTCCACTAATCATCTGGGAATACACAACAGCCAAACCCTGACCTGTTGACAC